TGTATCTGCATACGATTGCGAGTATATACCATAGACTCTATATGCATCCGGTGGCTCCGATGGCAGGAGGAAATTGATCAATTGGGTAAAATTAAGGAGGCACTTTGGTGGCCCCGTCATTTTCGGTGGGGTTTCGTGTCAACGTGCCGTTGGCCTCATCAATAAATAAGCCGAACTCTGTCCTGTTCCACGGACATGACTCCGGCCAACTCGCCCTGAGTGCTCGGCGATATAAGTTGTCTGATTAAATGCGATGTTGCCACATGGGGAAATGGGTGTTCAAGGGTTAGCTTAAATGAGGGTAAACTTTCATAACTATTAGCTTGATATTCAAACTAAATGGATCATCGAAGAAACATGAAAATAATAAGTTGTGTCATATGGGGGGTAGTTAACCAATAATGGGTATTACACACATAGCTGGCACATAGTCTTCTTCTAGATTGGATTTTGTATAACTTTCCCATACTTTCATTAAATGAGAAGCTTTAAGCTGATTTTCATCGCTGATTTCTTGGCTCCAGCTAGTGGGTTTCCCTCCACACTAGCTCCTTGGAATAGTTTTGTCATTTCGCTATCGTTCGCCATCATTGCTGTTCAACCATCATCGTAAATTACACGAAAAGTATCTATCTTTAGTTGGCAATGCTGCAATTTTATTAAAATTCCAAAAAAGCCACCCCTCCTCATCCATTCCAGAACCCAAAGTTGCCTATGAATATATGTATGTAGTTCGCTTCCTTCTGGCATCTTCTGGCAAAGTTCAGGGCTCCCAACGTGAGCAAGGACGAGGGTCCTGACAGGGGATGGTTCACCCTCGTCCTGGCAGCCACATCGCCATATTGCACAAATTGTGTGGGGGGCAAATAGTTTCCCCTCAGAGCTGCTGTTGCTTTTATATAAACATGAGGCAAGATTAGATACAAATTACACGCCAGCTTCCCAAGGTGGGCAACTCCCCTGCCTTGCCATTTCCATCCTCGTTCCCTGCCCCTTTGGCAATTTGCTCACCTTGCTGTCTGCTACTTCGTATCCATAAGTTACCTTCCATCCATCCCAGAAGTATCTCCAGTCCGACAGCAACGGCTGCAATAAGAGCAAACTTTTTCCCAGGCCAGCAAATGGCATTTCAGGGCCACGCCCTCTCGAGTCTGCCTCCGCCCAGCAAGTGTATTTTATTATTTATTTATTTCATATATTTTGCAGCAGCGGCGATTATAAAATGTGAAAAAAAGGCAAAAGAGGAGAAAAAAATATGGAAAACTATGTTCGTGCCCTTGGGGAAGCATTGGAGAAGCATCCACTGCCCCATCCACAACCATCCTCCCGAAAGTAATTCATGTCTGCCGAATTCAAACTTTACTTATTTTCCCAAAAAAAAAGAGAGTAGAAGGAAAGTTTGTCCTTCTTTCCGTTCGTGATTTCAGATGCTGGAGGGAAACGAATTTTGGGAGGACGAAAAATAAAAGCAAAGTCAGCCGGAAAGTTCCGCCGGCTCCCGGACTCCCGGAGTCCGGATCCTCTGAGTGGGTGGGCGGATGTCGTTGTGCGGTTGTATGTTTGCTCAATTTGGCGGGGGACGGAGGCGGACCAGCAAAGTTGAGCCTCATTCGGTGGCACGTTTGCAAAATGGCCCGATGCGTGTCTGGAATACATTTTCATGCTTGCCAAAAAGATGGCAGAAAACAAGACGACAAAACCAAGTCAGAACTCCTACTCCTGACAACCACTGCTCCCCCACCTGCCGGCCCCTTTGGGGTGCATTTGCTGCTACACATTGTTGGTTGTAATTCAACGTAAATTTATGTGAAATTGTTTGCCAAGCGGGGAACACGGAAAGCGGCATTTTGTGTTTTCTAAAATTTAATGTAGCTCGGCTTGGCATCGGCCGAGGGGAGAGGCCTGCAAGTTCCCCAGTGCTTACGCCACAGAATTTCAAATTAGCAAACACACACGCACTCACACACGACAGCCAGCCAACATTCCCATGGGTTGGGCAGGTTTTCGCTTCTTAATTCTCGGAAAGAGGATCGACCGGCCATCCCCGAGTCCATGCCCCAAAAACGGTTGCCCCGAAACTCCGGCCAGACGGAGAAGGGCTTAATGTTAATTGCGGCCTTTGTTTGGTTTTCCATTCGATTAAGTTAATGGCGCCGGGCGGCGCCCCTCGTTTTTGGCAAATGAAACTGGCTTAATCAGGCCCGATCTTAACGCAAATAGTCAGTGGCTCTGGGTTGGGTTTACACCTGCTTACCAAGGTGTTTTCAAGCACACAATGTGCTTGGCGATGACTTCTACATTAAAATAACAAGGGGGTAATTTATGGACAAGGTAAAAATTAAGGGTAGTCTTCCATTAAAAACTGCAGAAATATGAAAACTATTAGTGAACTTATAGAGACCAGGAACATCCCAAGAAAACCTCCAAAAACAGTAGCCTCCTCAACTTGATGCTTTGTTTTGTTTATTTCTCATTAATTGAATCATAATTATGAAATCGCATATAAACTGGGACCTACCAGATTAACTCTTTCAGCCAGGAAAGTCCAGAAGGGCAGACAATAATACAGGAACTGGCCACAGAAACTGTCAACTTAAGCATCGTAAAAAGTCAATTGTATTGACAATAATTTTCCGCATTAAACACACAAAGTTAATGCCCCAGAAGTTGCCAAGTGACTCTAACTTGGGGTACAAGGTGGAGGCCGAGCTACACCCAGAGAAAATGGGGGTTCCTCCACCTACGACACCAGACAGTATATGAACAATACCTCCAAAAAAATACTGATTTAAGTCAAGCTTTTTAAATAAAAAATAGTTTATATACATTTTACATATTTTTTTAAGTATTTTTAATTGGTAGAGAGCTTGGAAGAGATGGAGGATCAGGGGCAGGGAGCCTGGAGCGCCTTAATGGAAGACTCCAACGCTCGTAAAAGTCAGCGGGTTGGAGTATTTTTTTTTCGGGAAGCGGGCCAGAGGGAAATGGAGTTCGTCGAGTGCTCCGCTGGGCACTTAACCAAACCGAAGGAATTTGTTTGTTTTCTTAGCCTCACCCGCCAGTGGATCCGGATCCCGCCCCTGCAACTCGGAACATGTGCATCTGGCACACTTACCGCGCAATTAATGGCGCAATTAAATGTTTACTTTAGGCGCTTTCGAACCGCACATAAATGGCAGCCCAGCCCGCTTCCCCGTCGCTAGGGGAGATCGAAATCTCCGGGGTAGGGACCAATATTCGATATATAATTTTGTTTATTTTTTTGTGGATGGGTGGGGCCTCCTGAGGTGAACGAACAGGTGATCAGAACAGAAGCCAGGCTTCACAACAGTCTACGCAATATCAAGTCTAATATTCTTTTGTCTATCTGGCTGGTTTCCTCTCGCTTAGGTTCACACTTTCAAAAAGCGATTTTGCATAGAAATCACTGAGTTAACATTGAAATCTGTTGGTTATCTACAAATTGTTTTAGCAGATTTGTTTTATATTTATGGTCTTTAATTTTAATTTGACACTTTAACATAAGGTCGTAAAATCTTGTTTTGTTTTGATGAACCAAAAATAGAAAAAAAGATTTGCTTTTTTTTCTTTAACTTTTGGAAAGAATTTCATAAGTAAATCTTTTAATCATCGATCTAAAAATATTTCAATAAAAAAGTACTATTCATTCGCATTTAAATTCCTTGTAATTTATATCGCTGACTGAGTTTTTAGAGATTTTTTTTGTTGAAACTCCCACCCGAACCATAAAACAATTTGTTGCAAAATTCAGCCAACAGCCAGAAAAGTGCTCCATAAAAATATTAATCCTTCCGCCTCGTGGCCGGGCCGGGAAAGGAAAACACAAATGGGAATTGGGAAAACAAACTCCTACACATGTTTTGCCGCCCTGGGCTACCGACTCCTTGGGCGAAACTCTCGCTTTCGTTTTTAGGGACCATAAAGCCGTTTTAATGGCCGCCACGCAGTGTCGCATCGGAGTGTGTGTGTGTTTTAGGAGTATCTGTGTGGGCGCAGCACCGCAAATAGAGTGAAAATCTAAAAAATCACAAATCTCCCCGGGACGGGTCGATCGTTTTCGTTTCGGTTCCGTTCTGCCACGTCAAAGAGTTGCAATTACAAAATGTTTAATTGCCGGGAGGGACTGTGTTCAAGGAAAAACGAAAGTGGCCTCGGCAAACGCCGCTGGCGAGGCAAGAGTTGACTTAATGGCACTTAAAAGGCCATAAAATCCTGAATTATGATTTCGAGGTCGCAAAAAAGAATCTAGCCCTAAAGAATAAGCCCCTCCATATTCACTCGATTTTTGAAATGACGTGCGTGGTTTCTGTATCCTTAAGTAGCTGGAGGAAGCATACAATCTATGGTAGCCAATGACGCATCCTACCGAGAGTTCATTTTTTCGTATCGCCTGTGCAGGAATTTGAAAATGACGCCTGTCACTGGGCCGCTTATTTATGGTAATTTCGAATGTCTTACGGCCAACTGACAGCATTTACATATTCGGAAAGAGGAAGGCTGTTGTGGTCAGCGCGGCAATCGCAACCACAGTCCCACAATCGCAATCCCAGACCCAATCCCAATTCCAATCCCAAACCCATTTCCCTCCTCGTTTTCTGTCTGTCATGCGAAGTGCACGTTTGGCGTGTTTGTTTATACATATAGTAATACTACATGCACATATTTTTGAGCTGTTTCCCTTGTGGCTTTTTGTTTTTTAAATGAAATATCACGAGTGGCATGTAGACAGAACAAAGAATGCATAAATTACCCATCCCCCCGACGGGGGCTGCCTAAAAATCTCCGTCTCCCGAGTTATTGAAATTGATGCCAGCCGCGGGTTCATTGCGCCTTATCAGCGTCCAAAGTCGAGACTGGAAATCAGGAATAAGTGCAATTGCCCGCCAGACCATTAATTGACAATTGGAGTCTCCAATCTGCAGAGTCTTGAGAGTCCAAGCAAAGATTTTTAATGCCATCTCTCTCCATTTCTCTTGCAGTTCTTCGAGGGACGGACAGATGGATACCCGGGGCACTCGTAAGTTATGCCAATTGATATAAACAGCCGATAAGTAATCGCATTATTATCCATCTGAATATGGGCTCCCATTCGCATTCATATTGCAGGCCAGCTTTTTATTGATTTTCATTAAGATTTGAGCAGGATCGTAAAGAGGCAGAGCTATGGGCCATGTCCTTAGTGTTATGGGTTTAATCATGGGCCGGTATCTAATTAGGACTAAGAAAGGAAATGGCGGCTATTACCATTTTAATGGCAGAATATGCCAAAGACCAAGATTAATCCATTAAACTAATTAATAATATTTGGCTTTACTGGATCCATTTATTGGCCATACTAAACTAATTCACACCTCTTCGAATAAAATAAATCAAATGCTGCATATGAGTACGAAGTCATTATGTTTCCAAATGGGTATTTTTATTTCGGCTTGTTTGGATAGCTAATGGAGCCTCAATCATTTTAAGGATAGGTGTATGGGACGACTATGTGTTTTTACTGAGACATTCCGCCAATATCTTACTCACTTGGCTTGGATCGTATCGTTAGCGCTGTCGACTCATGGGTCGTAAATCAATTTTCGACATCTTTAGACTCGCCCATAAATTCCACTAGGTATATTTATAGATAATGTAGTCCCCACCGCAAAGAAAACGAAGAAAAAGAAAAGGAAAGGACGGAACGGCAGTCCCAGTCCCCCAAACCTCATTGGCAGTCGACATTTCCGTGAGACCGATACGATTTCGATTCCGATTCGATTTGACTTCAACTCCGGCGAATCAAGATTTTATGGGCGCAATCGTAAATCGCCAATTTTATAGTTAATCGATGGCCATTTAGGCCCATAAGCCTCTCGATGCATATTAATATTGGGGAATCGATAGGTGGGCCCCTGAATCCCCAGTCCCCAGACATCAGACCCCATGAAATTGATTTATTTGCTTTTAAAGACGTGTTTAGCACACAACCTCGGGGCTGCGAGATCGTAAAATTAATAAGGGATTAACATGCCATGATTGTGGCCCCAAAAGCCGTGCTATGAGCCGGGAAATTAAGTCAAAGGTTAAGGCGAAAGCCGGCGGAACCGGCAAACCTACCCACATATGCAGATACTCAGTTAGACGACGAATCTACGGATACAGATACGCCGGCAAACGCCCAAGAAGATGAACGGAGCAGACGCACTGCAAGATACCGAGAAACCCACCCCGAAAAGCGGACAACGAAAAAGGAAAAACTAAAAAATGAGAGCAATGACAGCATGTCCAAAATCCAGTATGGCCGAATTAAATGTTCTCGTTCTCCGCTTTGCTCGCTCCTTCGCAGCGGCCATTGTTGCCATGGCAACGGTACTGGCCGGGGGTTGGAGTGGTTGGAAAGGGAGATGGAAGGCAGAGGGAGACGGGCTGAGCATGCTCATAAATTCATTTGCTTGTTGTTGTCGAGCAAGTTTCTTTATTATTTCTTTTTCGTTTTGGTTTTCGTTATCTCCTCCGTTGCGGTTGTCCCCTGCCACACCCCCTCCTCCAGACAACTAGCCGGTCCGGTATCTCTCAGATACTTTGTATGCTCGACTTTGAGCCGAGGTTGGCGACCGGCAACTTAAAGATACAATATGTAGCTGAAAATCAGAGGACTAAAGGAAACAATTTTAAATATTTAAAAAATATATTGAAACTAAATCTGTTTTAGGAGCAAGACATTAGGAGTTTTATTAATTTAATTAAATATTTAATGGTATAGTCTAATATAATTTTTAAAATATTTTTTTAGTGCTACCCATTTTTAGCAAATACTTGCGAATTTTATTTTTTGCAATACTATTCTTATAGGAAACTATATTTCAACCCCGATTTCCATTCACAATGATTGTGCGCACTAAAGTGTGTAAGTACGACTTTGCTCGAGAGATGGCGCTTTTCAGGTTCGGCAACTGGCCGTTAATGGCGCTAGTAAAATCGAACAAGCCAAAATGCATATAAAATAAAGTGAATAAATGCAACAATGTATGTATGTGAGTTATAGCTCTTTTGCCTCATGATTTCTTAATTTTACAGCCAATAATTATAATTTTCTATATGTTTTTCAAATAAAAATCACACCAGCATTAACCGCATATTGTGTTTTCTTACTGGTTTTGTTTATTGTTTTTTCTTAAGCCCAATAGAATGCATGGAAGATATAGATCATTCAACGAAATAGCCCATAAAAAACGCAAAAAATTAATTTGATTATAAAGTGTATTCAGGGAATGCTTCGTTTGCCACAAAAAAGTTATTCATGGTCTCATAATTAATTTATTGTGTTGAAAAATGCATGATGAGGCCAAAAATGTTTTATCGCGAATACTAAATTTAATTTTAACGACAATCTAGATTTGTTTATGTCGTCAATGAGTCGTAAAAACAATATAATTTATTTCAGATTTTGTTCCAAAAATATTTGGAATGGAAGAACATATACTTGTATCAACAAAAATATATATCCTGGGGCGAATCCATCAACATTGTTGCATAATTGCCTGGCGGGGCAAGTTCAAGTCAGCTGTTCCATCATCTGGCAACAAAAAGCCGCATCAACAGGTTGCGCGTACTTCCCCCAGCCATCCAGTAAAAGCCACAAACGTATATGATATCAATATTAATCTTCAATTTATTCAATCTGTTAATTTACAAAGTGATAAGTTACAAAATATTCAGTGAAAAGTGTTCAACTTGTGTGTTATATGATTTTAAAAGTGTTTAGTGTTTGAAATATTTCTAGTACAAAGTTTTCACGTCCCGCGTTGAAAGTGTTTCCTCGTGTTACGTATACTGAAGGTATACCGGATAGGATACACTCAGGATACATTCAGTATACGTATACGAAGTTGCACAAAATCACCATCCTTCGTAATTTGCTGGTAAGATAGTAGTGCTGCAATTAAAGATATATATTTCCGACACTGGACTCCGGGAGTCTGGGATTCTGGGAGTCGCGGCGTTGTTGACCCGACGATTGCACGGCCGCAACTGAAACGAGCTGGCAGGAAAAGCAGGAAAGCAGCCGGCGTGTCCTCGTAATTGTCGTTTCCTTTCGGGCCGTCCGTTCGTGTCTCGCTCGCACTCGTATGCGGCTTTTCACAGGCATTTTCCTCCTGCCCACAGCCACTTCCGGCCGCTGTGTCCTGTGTCTATTCCTGTGCCTGTGCCTGGCCCTGGTGGTGGCTGGCTGGCTGGCTGGCTCATCGAGTTTTCAACGGGGGCGACGGATAGAGAATCGAAAATGATTGCGATAACCTCAGACGTTTAGCCCGGCACTTGTCACATAAGACGTGTGCCTTCAGTCCGTCTTTATTCTCGACTTTTGCTGACTCCTGGCTGCTGGCTCCTGGAAAATATCAAAAAGAAAAGAAAAGACTTTTAGTGAACAGTAAGTTTAAGAAGTTACGACGCAACGCACAAAAGTTCCCAGCTCCCAGATACCTGGCATTAATATTCCCGCCACCCGGTGCCACTATTTCGCCAATCGCGATAATCACCCTTTGTTGCCATCCATTACCCACCTGCCCTGCCCCCTTTGGGAGCCTCTACTTGCGCTCACGAGCACGTCCTTTCATTTAATCCCTAACAAGAAAGGGGCGGCCTCCCAGGCAACACACACACACACACAGCAGGAGCAGGCCAAAAAGGAGCCAAGGGAGAAAGAAGAAAGCCGAACGGAGACTTTCACAGCCAACCAGGCAACTCTCTGGCAATCTAATGCCTGAGATAAAATTCAAAATTTATAATATTGCACAGTTTGCCCGATATAAAACGTAAACTTATGGCTCTCGGGGAGTACGTGCCATATTTTTCTATGTGTATGTGCCCAAGTCTCAGCCACTATACATTTGCCTATGTATTCCAGCAAGCTGTGTGTGAGGGTTCTGAGTCCTGGGTCCTGCGCCCAACCCTTGCCGGCAAAGAGTCATGAGCTCGTTATGCCCGTGAGATTTCATTTGTGCGCCGAGACAACCCCCCGAAAAAACAGTGGGTTACTTTAAGGATAATATAGTTTTAAACTTATAAAAATAAAAGATAAAAATAAATGTATTATTATTAAAATTAAAAAAAGGAATTAATCGACCATATAAGCAAACTTTCTATCCTTATTTCTATAATATTTTTAAGCCCTTGAAATAATATTTAAAAGTAAAAGATTAAAGATCAACCCCTCCACACTATTACTATTTTATATTCAACATATTTTAGAAACCTTCTCTAAATTTTTAATTTATTTTTTTCCATTATTCATTGGATTTCCAACCACTGTGCCTAGGCACAGTTCCTTTTGGGCCTTGGCAGACATTTTGGGGAGGGTGGCAGTAGGACAACGTTAAAGGTGGGGAGGGCGTACACACAAAACGGCCGTTACAACCATAAATATCATTTTTTTATTGGCACAACCCTAAATGGCGGCATTTGGCAAAGCAAATTCCAATGCAAAACGGCGACTCCCAGTGGAATGTACTATATATACCATATAATATGGACGGGCATCCGCTCGCATAACGAGTAGTGGACCCAGGTTTTTGGGGGAATTATATTTGGTTGGCTTTTGGGGAGTTCCCAGCTGGGATCGGAAAGACCGCCCCCCAAGAATGTGCGACAATTTGGCGGGCCAACGAGCCGTATGGGTGCGGAGAATTCGAGTCAGTTAAACATCCTGGGGGGATGCTCAAATGTCCATCGCCCGAAATCCTTGTTCGCCAAATCGCCGGATTCGATGGAACGTGACTTTATGGCAAATCGCTGCCATTCTACCATTCTGGCCAAAGGTGCTAAGCGATGGCTGGAGCTTCTGCGTCCAAAACGGATGCGATGAGTCCTTTGCGGCATGTGGTGTTAAATGCACGCTTCGTTTCACCGGGACGCACAGACAATGGATTCGCCGGGGAACGGAAACAATTGCTTGAAATTACAGACGCCATTGCGCCATTGTTGCCAGCAGACGCATTCCGATTCCGCAATTCCCGCCTCCGCCTCCAGGACCCGCTC